TTAGTAAAATTTTAATGAAACAAGACTCGGCTGACTAAAAGTTACAAAAGTATCCTTTTTCTGCTCATGTGTGTACACCTATTTTACGTTTCTTAAAATTACTTGTTGAGTTTTAAAGCGATTTTTAAAATTTACTGAATCAAACAAGTCTTAAAAAATAAGAAAATAATTTTGAATTACTTAGGATAATTAAAATAAATATTTTTAATAACATTTTTTAAATTTATAGATATTTGCTATCAGAAATGGACTAATCAATTGGGGATTTGAGAGTTCCTCTATTGAAATGGTCTACCATAAGTAAAAGGAAAAAAATTAGAAACATTGTCAAAAATTTAGAATGTAAGTTCTGGTTGGGTCAACATTATTAAAACAATGATAAATTATATTATGTTTGGTAAATTAATTTATTGTAAGATTCGTGGTACATTATTCGAAATGGCATAAATTTAACAAATGAAAATCATTTGATATTTTATCTACTGAGTAAAACCTAGTGATAAAAACTAATCGAATATTTTTAATATATTATCATAAGTAAGATTTTTATTGATCGTCATAAAAATGTTTAATATTTATGGAACAGTAAATAAATATATAACAATAATATATCAAATCAAGAATTTAGTTTTTAGATGATCATCGCAAGGAATTTTTTTTAAGCTACGCACTTCTTTTGATGTGAAACAATCAATGCGGTGAGTCAGACGGGCTGTTGGTGTGGCGACTCTCTTCCAACTTGGCTAGGCGATCCCCCACTTTTTTTCATTGTGTTGAACTCGTATATCTATAACGTATACTAAAACAAGTAGTATGTTAAAAGTAAGGTAATTAAGATAAAGTTTTAAATGAAAGCTTGGATGAATTTGATATCTACCATTTTTTTGGTTCTATTTTTTTTTGGTGTATTATTACTTCTTTATTGTGTTCTTTAGGGCAAATCTCGATTCATTTTTTTTTAATCTTAATATTATTATTATAATGTTTCATGTAAATTGAATGCAATAATATAAATTATGATTTATATTTTAATTTGACTTTAGTTAAAAGATATTAATACTAGTAAAATTATCTACCATGATGTTTCAGATTTGTTGAATTTATACATGAGGATTGATTGTTTTATGTAAATTACTATTCAACTATAATTCCATTAATGTAAAATACAACTTACATTCATTTTCAAATATAATTTTAAAGGAAAATTTTAAACTATTATACATACATAACAATTTCTGCTAAAAATAGAACATAAAAAAATAATATTAATGTAGTAAAAGTATAATGAGAATAATGTCTACCAAAAATTGACTAAACTGACATTATGAACAACATAAATTTGATAAACTTAATTTATTTACAATACTAAGTGCGATAAATAACACATAGAAAAATTAGACAACGATGTCTAATAATAACAATAGTTTTAGTACATTTAAGCGACAAATTCAAACAACAGTTTTCAGCGGTGAAAGAAATATTTAAAAAACGACAACAAATTCAATGATTATTTTTAAATCGATGGTCAGATGTTTAAGAAAATAAAAACTGAAGTTGATTGAGTCAGGTAGTAAGATCGAAAAATTCAAATAAAAGTTTGCTTATGAACTTATTGCTATACCACAGACCAAGCCACTGAATGACTATTAAATGAGATAGAAGCCTTCTATCTTACTATTTGCCTGTCGAATTGCATTCTTTACAGTAAATTAACTGTTTTATACATATATAATACTTTGAATTTGTTCGACCGGTTGTTTGAATTTGTCGCTTTTATTTCTTAACTCGATTGACAGTATTTATTTTCTCAAATATCTTTCCATCGAATTAGAAATAATCAATGAATTTATTGCCAATTTGTTCTGTAGTTTTCAATTTGTTACTTTAGTATATTAGTGTTCGTGTAAGACAATTTTTTTTTATCATAACATTATATGACATTCCTCGGTCGCCTAGATATAAAAATGCTAATAAAAGCCAATATACTCGTTCAAAAGTTGTTATCTCACAGTCATTTTTTTAGTTAGATATTTTTTAACAGTTTTATATATTTACTAAGTACACAACTTTGTAAAATATTATTTTTTTAGATTTTTATTTTAGATTTCAGTCATAGGTTAAAAAAATTTATTGAAGTACATAATCGATTTTAGACAGCCCTTAAGAATTTTAAGGTGATTGCATAGTGTTATAGATAATTTATATGATGATATTGAGAGTCTAATTAATTTTAATTTTATAATAGAAGATCAAACATCTGCTCTTTTTAGAAAAATTATTATTTAAAAGTTAGCTAAGAACCCTAATTTCAAATATGAATCACAATGATCATTAAAATATAAAAAGAGGATAAATTTTCTTTTTGGCAATTGATATCCCAATATAAATGTCACAAAGCACATTTCCTTAAAACCATCTGTCAAATCAATTCATAAAATAAAATTTGTATTTATTTATTACAAAACAAAACAAAAATTATGTCATATGAATACTAAAATATTCAATATAAACTTTCATGAATGATTAACATGCATTCTAAATTGGTAACCAATGATACCCAATTTTTTAACAGTTTAAATTATTTATCACTTTCGTTAGAATTTTAAAATACCAGACAATTATATCGTAATATATAACTTCGAGAATGCCTTGTAATAACAATAAACTTAGGCTCTGATGAAAAAAATGACTAAATATCACCAAAACTGGTCTATTAAACTAGCCTTATAAATATTTATTTATTTATTTCAATATTTATTTATTTTTGTAATATACAAGACACAACATAATCAAACAGAAAAAAAACAAATAAATATTGAGTACGCCACAGACGGCAATGAGTACAGAATATAAATACAAAATATCCAAATAATTAAATAAGTACAGCATACATAGAAGTTTAAATTATTAACATACAAAATTAATAATTAAAATACATCGCTACACATAGATTTTAACTTGGTTAAATGGACATTAAAGATATCAAAATTTTTAATTAAATTGCAAAAATGTAGCATTCTATTGACCGGTGAATAATAACTATAATTCTGACGATATGAGTTAACATAAAATAAATTATTAGATCGGAGATGAAAATTAGGAACATTAAAAGAAATTAGACTTAAAATTTCTGGACAATCTACATTATTATTAATGAGATTATAAATTCAAAAAACGTCATTGCATTTTCTTCTGTAAGCAAGGAAAGTTAAACCAAGAGAGATTCTAATTTCATCGATGGACACATTATAATCCCTAGACTTAAAAGAAATGAAATGTAAAAAACGTCTTTGTATAGATTCTATTCTATTAATTTTAACTATTTTATATGGACACCAAATAATAGATGCATATTCTAAAATTGATCTTACAAAAAAAATGTACAAGGTTTTGATACACAAAATATTATTGAATTCATTACAATTTCTTCTCAAAAAGCCAAGTGTTCGTGACGCTTTATTGTAAATATAATCTATATGGTTAGAAAAAGATAAATCGCTGGATAATATAACTCCTAAATCTTTAATACTATAAACATTAAGCAAATTACAACCATCAATCGTATACTGATTAATATTTACATTTTTAGAACGAGTAAATGTTATCTGATGACATTTATTTGTATTAATTACTAATCCATTTTTTTTTACACCATAAACTGAATTTATCTAAATCTGATTGTAATTTACCGCAATCATCAATTGATTGAATGGTCATAAATAACTTAAGATCATCCGCAAAAAGCAGATAGTTGCAGTGTTGAAAATTTTGACATAAATCATTAATAAAAACGATAAAAAATAAAAGAGACAAATGGCCACCTTGTGGTACACCTGAAGTAACATTAATTATATTCGAAGTAAAATTACCTATTTTGATTTGTTGATTTCTATTTTTGAGAAAGGAAGAAAACCACGCAAGCATTGGATTACCTACACCCAAAAGTCTTAGCTTTTTTAACAAAATTGAATGATCAACTTTATCGAAAGCTTTTTTGAGATCAGTATACACAGCGTCTACGCGGCCTCCAGAGCTTATATCGGATATTAAAGTAGTGTAAAAATGTTATAAGAAGATTTAATAAAAAATTTAATAAGAAGATTTGTTATAGTTGATTTTGATGAACGGAAGCCATGTTGATTATTAACTAAAATAGGTTGAAATGTATATGCAAGCTTAGGTAGTAATAATTTTTCAAATAACTTTGGTAAGACATTAATCTTAGATATGGGGCGATAATTAGTTACCTCACTTCTATCACCAGCTTTAAAAATAGGATATATAAAGCTAAATTTCCAAAGATCTGGAAAACAATCAGATAATAAAGAAAGGGAATAAAGGAAGTGAATCGGCCGGGCAAGAGCACAACGACAATTATTAAGAAATATTTCAGAAATTAAATCCGGTCCAGTTGAAATGCTATTTTTAAGATGAGAAAGACCTTCATAAATATCTGATAAAGATAAATCACACTTGGAAAAATAAATTTTATCACCTTCGTAATTATCCAAAGACAACGGATCAGTATTATGTGCTGTGAATACTGAACCAAAATATTCACCAAAAATATTAGCAATGTCTCTCATATTATCAAAGCGCGAATTCTCGTACTTCATTACATTAGGTAGTCGGTTTACATTTTTACAATTCTTTATATACTTCCAAAAGTATTTAGGATTATTTATTAAATTGTTTTGAACTTTATTTAAATAATCAGAATAGCATTGCTTAGATAAAAATTTACAAGTTGCACAGGTAGATGAAAATTCATTATAGATTGACTGTAATCCGTATTTTTTAAATTTTTTATGCAAATATTTTTTTTTGTGTATAAGGGACTTTAATTCTTTTGAAAACCATAGTGGAAAAGAAGATTTATAAGAGTAGATTTTAGGCACATTAGCATCTAACACTCTAGAGATTATTTTATAAAACTTACTTAATGCTGAGTTAGATACCAATCTACATCATTTAATAAATTAACTAATAAAGGAAAATTAGCATGGTTAAATTATGACTTTAACCATGTATTATTCTTATGTTTTGAATTATAACTATCATATACTATTAGACTTGATTATTAAAAAAATTTGCTAAAAAAATTCTTATCAAAAGAGGCATCACCTCTAAAATTTATAGATCGATATTTTCATTTTCATTTATAATATATCTTAATAATATTTTTATTTCAATAAAATAAATTTATAAAAAAAAAATCATGTAAAAACCATCACAATAATTGAAATCCCTATTTTAGCTTCGATGCGAAGCTGAGAAGGTATTGGTTTTACTAAGGTGTTTTTTTTTTGTGTCTGTTACCACTTTTTCTCAGCTCTCACCGAACCGATTTCTTTCAATGATACGTCAAAATATCACAAATCGTATCTAGTCGAAGACATTACCCTCAAAAATTGAAAAAAATTCCCTCATTCTCCGTAAATAGGAGAAACCTCCAAAAAAATTACAAATTTAAAAATCGCTAATTTTCGAAATTTTTTAAATTTTTTTTACTTAAAAGAGCCATAACTTTTTTAAAAATAACCAAATCAACATAATTATTTTTTTATAGATGCATGATGTCTTTATCTATCATTTGGTATATATTTTGTTTATATCTGACCCTTTACCTGCCCACAGGGGGGGATTTAAAATGACAACTTTATCACAAAAAATTAATTTTTTTAACTTAAATTTTGAAAATGTTCCGGAAAGTCTGACACTTTTATATATATATTAAATTAAAGCTAATGTAATATACTTTATTATGAAAAAAAAAAATTTCGGACTTTATCTTATCTT